AACCTGGACGACAGGTCACGTCTCTCCACAGGCGGAACGGCAAGGTGGGGCTGTCTGGCATGGCCATCGCGGACATCACCCTCCTGAGTGGATTCCACGCCCTGCGTGCTGACCTAGAGAAGGTGTGGTCAGACCCCAGGGCAACCCCCTCTGCCCCGGTGCTGAGCCCTGTCATGTGCAGGGCCTGTGACCTGTGACCACCTCCCCTTTTCCACAGCTGACCTCCCTCTCTGACCGTTACGTGAGTCACTTTGAGACCGAGGGGCCCCACGTCCTGCTGTATTTTGACTCGGTGAGTGGGGAGAGGTGACGCAGGAAGGGACTCGATGGCACTGGGTGTACTGAGTGTGCGTTAGGAGGTTTCTCAGGAGACAGCTGTGTCAGCCGCCAGTGCTCTTGGGGACTTGATGTCATCAGCGAGAAGGACGAGGATGTGAGCCTGTGAGACACAGCAGAGTAAGGGGCAGACCTGCAGGTGGCAGGGGCCGGTGCCAGTCAGCGGGGACCCTCGGGGCTTGAGAGGGATGCTTCGTAAAGCCGGTTTTATTCAGCTTGAGGGGCTGCCTTTGTTTTTTTGTTGAACTTCCTATTTTTTTTTTTTAATATTAAAGTATATTTTCTTTTACAACGTGATGGTGGCCATAGATGACAGTTGTATTTGTCTTTTCACGGCCTTATTTGGCTAAAATAGTTATCAGCCCTCTTATAGCCTTCAAAACATTTTTATTTAGTTAGTTATTAAAGACAGGGTCTCGCTCTGTTGCCCAGGCTGGACTTGAACTCCTGGCCACAAGCGATCCTCTGGCGTAGGCCTTTCAAAGTACCGGGTTTACAGGCCAGAGCCACCATGCCTGACCTTCAAAATGTTTTTTGAACATTTACTGTAACCTCTGGGAGAAAATGTGAGAAAGGTGTGGTGGCTTTCATTAGCCAGCTGTTTGTCGGTCAGGGAGACCCCTACCCAGTGTGTGCAGAGGGGCCAGCCCCCATCAGCTGGGGAAGCCTGGCTGACACATCTGGGTTGAACACAATGGAAAACACAGCCAGCAAGATTCCCGGAGAGGGAGCTGACGGCGCGGCAGCCCAGCTCAGGAGAGACACTGGCACGGCACCGTGTGGACTGGGCGCGCGTGGGCGTGAGGAGGGGTCAGGCCTGGGACCTGAGTCGGGGGGTCAGGCAGGATGACAGAACCTGCAGTTAGGTTATGGCAAATAAAGGAGGACCCAGTTGTATCCATGACAAAGTTGAGGCTGTCAGGAGGGTGAGTGGGTTTGGGGGCAGGCAGAGTGCCTTGGAGAACTCACAGGTCCTGCCAAAACCCTAATGCAGAGATGGAGCTGCAAGTGCAGTTTGAGAATCATCAGCCTGGAGCGGTTTAGTGGAAGGCAGGGAGTGGTTGAGGCCCCCACAGGGGAGCACTGAGGAAGCAAGTTCCGAAGGAGGGAACGTAAGAAATGACCAGCTCAGAACCAAGGGTGTTCCAGAAGCTAACCCTTAGCTTAGGGACAGTGTCACAGAGAACATGTCCATGATGCAAGACTCTGCTGAGGGCCTGGGGCAGTGAAGACTGGCGCAAGGTCACCCTCTGGGAAGTGAAGTCACCAGAGACCTTGCGGAGCAGCTTGGAGAGTTCTCTGAGTAGGAAGGTAACAGAATGTGAAGGACACTGGAGAGAAGGCCAACAGGAACCAAACAAAACCAGGCCAAGGAAATCCAGTATAGGGGGCTGCAGGGCCCAGGGAGTGGGTCCCTCATCTCTCCTCCCCACGCTGGGCCAGGTTCCCACCTCCCGGGAGTGCGTGGGCTTTGAGGCTGTGCAGGAAGTTCCCGTGGGGCTGGTGCAGCCGGCCAGCGCAGCCCTGTACGACTACTACAACCCGGGTGAGCACTGCGGGGCACCCTGGAGTTCAGGAGAGCTGTGGCATAGGTGCCCTCCTGTGGGACAGTGGACACTGGGGTAGTGTGGGGGGCAGAAAGTGCTGGGGCTCCCTGGGACTGAGGAGGCAGAACAGAGGGACCCGTGCCCTGACTCCTCTGTGTTCTCCAGAGCGCAGATGTTCTGTGTTTTACGGGGCACCAAGTAAGAGCAGACTCCTGGCCACCTTGTGTTCTGCTGAAGTCTGCCAGTGTGCTGAGGGTGAGACTGAGGGCCTGGGGCGGGGCAGTGGAGGCGAGATGGCCGGGGACCCCCCACACTGTCTGATGGGGCCCCCGACTTCAGGGAAGTGCCCTCGCCAGCGTCGCGCCCTGGAGCGGGGTCTGCAGGACGAGGATGGCTACAGGATGAAGTTTGCCTGCTACTACCCCCGTGTGGAGTATGGTCAGTCTTCCCACCGAGGCCCTGGCCTGACCCTCCCTCGGGGACTGGCTGTTTTGGCCTCTCTGGGTGTAGCCTGCCCCTCTTACAGGTCAAGCATGCAGCCTCTTTGCTCTGACACCAACTTCCTGCCCTCTTAGCTGAAAGTAACTCACCTTTATTCCTTCTCCTAACCCCCTCTTAGGCTTCCAGGTGAAGGTTCTCCGAGAAGACAGCAGAGCGGCTTTCCGCCTCTTTGAGACCAAGATCACCCAAGTCCTGCACTTCAGTATGAAGCGAATCGAGAGGCGGGCAGGGCTGTGGGGAGACAGGGAGGCTGAGGTCTGGCTGAGGACCTGACCATCTGGAAGTGTGAAAATCCCCTCAGCGTGTCAGAAGCCCTGGGCTTGGCCATAAATAGGGAGGCAGTGGCACCTCTTCGGCGGGGCGGCGAAGGTGGAATGAGAGGAGCTACACAGAGCTGCTGGCCTGGGCTCACCCTGCACCTTCTCTTCCCCTCTGACCACTTTTGTGCACGTCATCCCCGCAGCCAAGGATGTCAAGGCCACTGTTAATCAGACACGCAACTTCCTGGTTCGAGCCTCTTGCCGCCTTCGCTTGGAACCTGGGAGAGAATATTTGATCATGGGTCTGGATGGGGCCACCTATGACCTCGAGGGACAGTGAGTCGTCTGATCCCCTCAGTCTCTTATGCTCCCCATGCCTCGCCACCTAGGCCTTGCCCTTCAGAAGCCAGATGCCTGTGCTCTCCGTTCCCAACTGCCATCCTCCCGAACCCTGCTGATTGTCCCTTTCCCCTCTGCAGCCCCCAGTACCTGCTGGACTCGAATAGCTGGATCGAGGAGATGCCTTCTGAACGCCAGTGCCGGAGCACCCGCCAGCGGGCAGCCTGCGCACAGCTCCACGACTTCCTCCAGGAGTATGGCACTCAGGGGTGCCAGGTGTGAGGGCTGCCCTCCCGCCTCCCCCGGGAGGAACCTGAGCCTGGGAACCACGAAGCTGGAAGCACTGCTGTCTCAGCTTTCCTGAACACAGCCTGGGACCAGGGCATATTAAAGGTTTTTGGCAGCAAAGCGTCAGTGTGTGTTGCTAGGGCCGAGAGCAGTGCCCCTCCGCATTGCAGTTCTGGGGCAGGCCAGCTTGACATAACCTCAGACCCTCTGAGCCCTGATGACCCTTGGGCTGTCCAGCTCCGTCAGACCCTCCCTGATGACCACCCGCTAGGAGTCTAGTGCTTCACAGGACCACCCCGAGCAGAACTGGGACCCAAGAGCCTGCCCCCCAAGGACCAGAGTCCATGCCAAGGCCACCCTTCAGCTTCCAAGGCCCTCCACTGCCTGGCTGTCGCCAGTCACCACGGCCTCAGACAGGGCTTGTGCTCAGCTGACACCTCTGATATAGCTCTTCTGCCTCATGAGCTGTTGTCCAGCCACACCTCCCCGACTCTGTCCTCATGCTGCTGGTGGTTCAGAGGTCTGTGAATTTTGGCTGAGTTCCGGGCCATTGAAAGCCTCGTGACGCTTGGTTTTATCAGTGGCGTGAGGTGACTTTCCCAGAGTTGTGCGATCTTCAGGTCCGGTAGTGTCTTCTTCCAGTTACTGGTTTCAAACAAGCCAAAAGTCTGACTGTGCTGTTTGTGAATCCTCTGAGGAAGCTGCTGTTCTCTCTCGGGACAACCCGCTCCCGATGGTTAATGTAGGTTCTTTTCTATTTCCTAGGTGTCTCAGCTGGTTTGAGAAATAAAGGGAAAGAGTACAAGAGAGAGAAATTTAAAGCTGGGTGTCCAGGGAAGACATCACATGTCGGCAGGATCCGTGATGTTCCCTGAGCCGTAAAACCAGCAAGTTTTTATTAGCAATTTCAAAAGGGGCAGGAGTGCACGAACAGCGTGTGGGTCACAGAGATCACATGCTTCACAAGGTAGTAAAATATCACAAAGCAAGTAGAGTCAGGGCGAGATCACAGGACCACAGGATGTGGCAAAATTAAAATTGCTAATGAAGTTTCCACAGGCATTGTCATTGATAACATCTTATCAGGAGGCAGGGTTTGAGAGCGGACAACCTGTCTGACCAAAATTTATTAGGCGGGAATTTCCTTGTCCTAAATAAGTCTGGGATTGCTACAGGAGACTGAGGCTTATTTCATCCCTTCAGCTTCGACCATAAAAGGTGGTCACCTTAGGGGGGCCATCTATAGACCTACTCTCAGGGTGCATTCTCTTTCTCAGGGATGTTCCTTGCTGAGAAAAAGAATTCAGCGATATATCTCCTATGTGCATTTGAAAGAAGAGAAATATGGCTCTGTTCCGTCCTGCTCACCGGCAGTCAGTTTAAGGTTACCTCCCTTGTTCCCTGAACGTCAGTGTCATCCTGTTCTTTTTTCAAGGTGCCCAGATTTCATATTGTTCAAACACACATGCTCTACAAACAGTTTGTGCAGTTAACACAATCATCACAGGGTCCTGAGGCGGCATATATCCTCCTCAGCTTACGAAGAAGATGACGGCATTAAGAGATTAAAGTAAATACAGGCATAGAAAATCACAAGAGTATTGATTGGGGAAGTGGTAAGTGTCCATGAAATCTTCACAATTTATGTTTAGAGACTGCAGTAAAGACAGGTGTAAGAAATTATAAAAGTATTAATTTGGGGAACCAATAAATGTCCATGAAATCTTCACAATTTATGTTCTTCTGCCGTGGCTTCAGCCGGTCCCTCTGTTCGGGGTCCCTGACTTCCTCTAACAGTTCTCCTGGGGTCTGCCTTCCCCATGCTGCCTGCCTAGCTTTCCCCCATTTAGTGGCACACTTGGGGTCTTCAGAGATGGCTCCGAAATGTGTCCAAAGAAGATTGCTGAGTCAGTTTCCGTAGAGGTCACAACAGTTGAGCAGCCTGCCATCAGGTCATTCAACAGAAATTTGGGAAACTTTCACTTCACGCCCTGTGCCAGGTGCCACAGAGACAGCTACTTACTCACTGCAGGGCTCGTCGCTGGGGAGACAGATAAGAGGACGGGCAGTCCCCAACCTCTGTGAAAGATGTGATGTCAGGAGGGAGCAGTGCGGGCCTGTGCGGCATCTAACCAAGTCAGGGGCATTGCCGGGCAGGGACAGGGAAGGCTTCCTGGAGCAGGTGGCCTCCAAATGGGGCTCTGAAGACTGAGAAGGAGCCAGGCAAAGAGCAGGGGTAGGTGAGGGCATGTGGCGCAGAAGGAGAATGTACAAAGGCCCGGAGGCCGGGGGCAGAACAGGGTACCTTTGGGGACATTGCATGTAATTGACCACATTTGGAGTTTGGATTTGAAAGTGGTGGAAGAGATGGAGATGGTGAGACAAGTAGTAAGCACGCCAGCCTTCCAGGTGAGCTCCTTTCCGATGAGCGCTCTCTTATCCCATGAAACGTTGAGAAGTTTGGACCCTTCCCACTGTGGCAGAGGTTTCCTGAGGCTCTCGCATACGTGGCCCTATGGTTGCCCATTGAATCTTTCTGCCAATAGCTGGTCAGCATGGTGGTGGCATAAGCGCATTTTCCAGAGCCAGGGATTCAGTTGCAGCAAGACATGGCCCTGTCTGGGAGGTCAACATGAAGAAGGCAGTGGCTGTCATTGTCCAACCCCAGAAATCCCAATCCTGTTTCCTCCGTCTCCGTCCTGATTGTGGATTCAGCAGCAGTGAGCTCACCAATGTAGTGGGTGGCACAGCCAGGATCTTGACTCTGGCTCTGCAGCAGCACAGTCTGGAAAACTCTGAGGGGAGAGAGATCCCCACTGTTCCCTGGGTCTGGCTACAGAGCCAGAAATGGGGGGGAAGGCATGGGCCTGGGTCGCCTCTGACTGCTCACGTACCATCCAGGAGGCCCTGGCCTCTCGCTGAACCCTGCCACTCCTCTTTGGCATGGCCTCTTCCCAAACCCCCAAACTGCCTCCTTACCCACAAAAGTGGTCTCTGAGTGTCACAGTTCAGTGTGACCCCCACCCCTTATGGCTTCAGTTCCCCAAATAGGGCTGGACCCCTGATCCTGATCCAGCTGTGGCTATCCAGCCCCTTCCTGGGGACTTTGGACTTTGAGGGGGGCATGCCCAGGTGTGCTGGGAATCCACACTCTCCCTGGCTGGACCTAGAACCTGTGGACTCTAGTCCCGAGGGCAGTCGTGTTCTGCCTGTGCCTGGAAACACAAGAAACTTGACTGCAGAGAGAAGAAAGAGGAGAGAGAAACAGCGTGAGGAAACTGCCCGTCTCCGGGGCTTTTTCTGTTCCTTGGCTTTCTAAGGCCAGTGGGGTCCCCTCCCCTGCTTTCTTATTCCCGAGTTCTGTGAAATTCCCCAATCCGGCCGGGCGTGGTGGCTCACGCCTGTAATCCCAGCACTTTGGGAGGCCGAGGCGGGCGGATCACGAGGTCAGGAGATCGAGACCATCCTGGCTAACACGGTGAAACCCCGTCTCTACTAAAAAATGCAAAAAATTAGCCGGGTGTGGCGGCGGGCTCCTGTAGTCCCAGCTACAGGCTGGGAGGCTGAGGCAGGAGAATGGCGTGAACCCGGGAGGTGGAGCTTGCAGTGAGCCGAGATCGCGCCACTGCACTCCAGCCTGGGCGACAGAGCGAGACTCCGTCTCAAAAAAAAAAAAAAAAGAAAAAGAAATTCCCCAATCCTTACTTTTTATCTCAAACCAGCTCAAGGTGGTCTGTTTTCCTTTCAACCAAAGAAAGGTGCTCCTGGTGGCTAAAGGTACATATTCTACAGCTAGATTTCCAGGCCGGAATCCTGCCCTCCACAACATGCGAACGACACCCGTGTTGCATATAGAGCATGTCTGTGAAGAATTGAGTTAGTGCCTGCAAAGTGCTTAGAGCAGTGTCTGGTACATGCGAGTACCCCGCAGCGGGAAACCACCTCCTTCTTGGTCTTCTGGGCACTTTTGAGAGTGAAAGGAGGCACTAATAGCGAACATACTGTGTACACTGGAATGCCACAGGCAAACCAGGCTTTAGCGGTATTCCTCTATCTGTAGGTTAAACTAACAAAAAACCCACACAAATCACATTTCGTTCTTCAGGAAGGCATATTAGGCAGGGACTGCCATTTTCTCGCTGAGATAAACATCATGCCAGTAAACTGGCCCACGGTGGGGCGGCAGAGGGAGAGGGCCCAGGTGGGGGCGGACACCGTTGCCTGTACAGTTGATGTGGAGCCTGAAAGCTGACTCTGGCTGCAGGAGAAAGCTCAGGGTTGCATTTCCCTTCCTTGCTTCTTGATGGATGATCCATTTTTTGAAATACGGATGTCCCAAGGCCAATGAGACTGGTGCCATTCCAGTAAAGGGCCACTCTGTGGGCGGGACGGTGGGAAGGGACCCGAAGGTGGGGTAAAGGGAGGCCCCAAAACAGCCTACACAGCAGGAGGGATGGCCGGGGCTCTAGAGCTATAAGTGGCCCCTCGGGGCCCTGACGGGCGTCTCGCCATGCTGTTCCTGGGGCTGCTGCTGCTGCTGCCCCTGCTGGCTGGCGCCCGCCTGCTGTGAAACCGCTGGAAGCTCAGGAGCCTTCACCTCCCGCCTCTTGTCCCGGGCTTCCTGCACCTGCTGCAGCCCGACCTCCCCATCTATCTGCTTGGCCTGACTCAGAAATTCGGGCCCATCTATAGGCTCCACCTTGGGCTGCAAGGTGAGAGCCTGTTCTCGCTCTGGCCCTCACCATAGGAAGGCGGAGGGGGCGGGGAGGGTCCTCTCCCTCCGCTGACGCTGCTTTGGCTGTCCCCCAGATGTGGTGGTGCTGAACTCCAAGAGGACCATTGAGGAAGCCATGGTCAAAAAGTGGGCAGACTTTGCTGGCAGACCTGAGCCACTTACCTGTAAGGGCTGGGGGAATTTTTCTTTCTTAATTTTTTTTTTTTTTTTAGAAATGGGGTCTTGCTATGTTGCCCAGGCTGGTCTTGAATTCCTGGTCTCAAGTGATCCTCCTACCTCAGCCTCAAGTGGGAGCCACCTTTGGGGGCTCCCCCAGTCCAGGTCCCTGGAGGCTGTTGGGGGGCATATCTTGGGGGGAGGAAGCAGGGGTTGGGGAGGCAGAAGAAGGTCAGGCCCTTGGCCTCCTTGGCCAGTTCCCACCCTCCAGCCCCCAACTCCTCCTGCAGACAAGCTGGTGTCTAAGAACTACCCGGGTCTGTCCTTGGGAGACTACTCTCTGCTCTGGAAAGCCCACAAGAAGCTCACCCGCTCAGCCCTGCTGCTGGGCATGCGTGACTCCATGGAGCCCGTGGTGGAGCAGCTGACCCAGGAGTTCTGCGAGGTAAGGCTGGGCTCCCGAGGCCACCTCAGGTCAACCTCGCCTCTCGAAGTAGCTCCCGCCCTGCCCGCTGCACACCGGCCTGCTGAGCTCCCGTTCCTTCTCCACAGCGCATGAGAGCTCAGGCCGGCACCCCTGTGGCCATTGAGGAGGAATTCTCTCTCCTCACCTGCAGCATCATCTGTCACCTCACCTTCGGAGACAAGATCAAGGTGGCTCACAGCCCCTCTGGCCACCCCCAGCCCCTCCCTGAGCCTCTCCTTGTCCTGAACTGAAAGCACGCCCTCCTTTTCTGGCAGGAGGACAACTTAGTGCCTGCCTATTACAAATGTATCCAGGCCCAGCAGGTGACTCCCGAGGGTTGGGGTAAGTGAGGAAAGCCCGATCCCAGCCAGGTCCTGGCCAGCCGCTAACTCCAGCCCCCTTCAGCATCTCCGGCTATGACATCCCTGAGGGCACAGTCATCATCCCGAACCGCCAGGGCGCCCACCTGAATGAGATGGTCTGGGAGAGGCCACATGAGTTCTGGCCTGGTATGTGGGGGGCCAGGGGCCTGCTGTGAAAAGGTGGCAGGGGTTGGTCCCCGCAGCCGCTGAGCGCCTCCCCACCCACCTGTCCACCCGCCCGCAGATCGCTTCCTGGAGCCAGGCAAGAACTCCAGAGCGCTGGCCTTCGGCTGCGGGGCGCGTGTGTGCCTGGGAGAGCCCTTGGCGCGCCTGGAGCTCTTCGTGGTGCTGACCCGACTGCTGCAGGCCTTCACGCTGCTGCCCCCGGGGGACGCCCTGCCCTCCCTGCAGCCCCTGCCCCACTGCAGTGTCATCCTCAAGATGCAGCCTTTCCAAGTGTGGCTGCAGCCCCGGGGGTTGGGGGTCCACAGCCTGGGCCAGAGCCAGTGACGGGGCAGGACGGATGCCAGCCGCATGCCTCAGTTTCTCCTTTATTGCTCCCGTACGAACCCCTCCCCCCACTGTAAACATAGTGCTGCGAGATCGCTGGCGGAGAAGGCTTCCTCCAGTGGCTGGGTGGTGAGGGGCCCTGGCTCTTCTCTCGGGGCGACCCCTCAGTGCTCGGCAGTCATACTGGGGTGCAAGAGAGGTGGGCAGCAGCTCAGCCTCCCCCGGCTGGGGAGCGAAAGTTTCTTGGTCTCAGCTTCATTTCCGTGAAGGGCACCGAGAACTCAAAGCCCTTCCAGTAGTACCAGCTCACTCCCTGGGAAAGGGGTTGTCAAGATAGAGTCAAAGCCGGATGTCCCATCTGCTCCTCCCATTTCCCTTAAGGAGGCGGCTCGGAGCACTCAACCAGCCTCCCCACACAGCTCCCCTCCTGACCCTCCGCCACAGAGGATTGAGGCTTAATCCTGAGCTGGCCCTTTCCACCCAATAAATAATCTCCAGCTCGTCTGTGAGGCTGGCACGATTGTTCCGTTTCACCCAGCCGCTCAGTCCCTTGCCTGTTACACTGTGGGGCTGAAACCTAGGCAGGCCGAGCCCCAGCCACCCCGGCTCTGTGCCCCCTCAACACCCCTCACCTGATGGTCCACTGTGCTCCCGTAGAGCCCGTTGAGGTTGGCGTAGTGGCAGTTCCTGTACCACCAGGCCCCTCGGTAGGAGACGGCGCAGGAGATGAGCAAGTTGTTGGGGTCCCGATCACGGGCAGAGAAGACACTGCCGCTGTGGTAGCTCATGGAGTCCCCTGGGCAGGGTGGAGGAAGGAGCCATGAGGGCCTCCCCTCCCAGCCTCACCCTCCCAGCCTCGCAGCCTGTGCTTACCTGCGGTGCCGTGGTAGCCCTCCAGGTGGAGGCGGTAGTACTCCGCAGCCGAGTCTACGCGGAAGGAGTCGTACTGGGCGAACACAGCCTCGTCCCCAGCCCGCAGGTCCACGCGCATGGAGTAGTCACCTGCCTGCGTCAGGCTGTGCAGGGCCTCGTTGCCTGGGGGTGGGAGACATGACCTCATCAGGGTCCTGGTGTCCACAGGGCCCCCATCCCATCCGTAGTTCCCCAACCCCTGTGAGGTACTGACCCAGCCAGAACTCCCCAGAGATGTTCCCAAAACCATGGGCATAGTCCTCCCAGTCCCTCCAGAAGTCTGTCTGTCCATCCATGCGGCGCTGGAACACCTGGGAAGCAAGTGGGGGCACCATCAGCCTCTGGCTCCCGGGGCAACAGCCCCTGCCCTGCACGGACCCCTGGGTTTCCCAATGCCACCCACCAGCCAGCCGCCCCCGTCAGTCTCCATGTCACAAAACACGTTCAGGGGCCGCTCGCGGTTGCCGTTGAGGAAGATGGTGGTGGTCCTGGAGGCACCGGCTCCGTTCTGCATCTCCTCCCCGCAGTCCCTGGGGAAGGGGATCCGCAGCCCACCTGGGGAGAGGAGAGCAGGGGCCAGTCCTTTTCCAAGCCTTGGACCGTGGCTGCCCACCCAGTCCCCGGCCCCGGCCGGTGCGTCCAGGTACCGGTGGTGAAAGAGGTGGATACGGGTGGCAGGAGGCTCTCGCCCCACATGGCCTGGAGCTGTGCATTGTAGAGGGTGGAGGGAAAGAGGCCGAGGAGCTGGTGAGATGTGACCCCTCCCGGAAGCAGGATCTCCTGTGGGACAGACAAGGCGGGGTCAGGGGAGAGGGAGGTGGAGTCCCTCAGGGAGGGCCAGAGGCAGCACCTCCTGGAGTCACCCAAGGAGGGGAGTTGGTCAGTGGGGCCGGGGCACCTGGGTCCGGCCACCAGGGGTGTCGAAGCTGAGCAGGTAGCCTGTGGGCCGGACTTGGGGCTCAGTCCAAGTGAGCAGGGCCGTGCGGGGGGTCACTTCCTTGGCCTCCAAGTCCCGAGGGGCCTCTAGCCCTAGGAGGGAAAGCAGGAAGAGGAGATGGGGATGAGGCCCATCCTGGCTCCCTCTACCTCCTCTCCTCCATCCCACACACCCCACAGACCCTACCTGTGGTGAAGGTGATGCTGGCTGGGGAAGTGAGGTTGGGGCCCCGCAGGCCGCGCACGGTGGCGGTGTAGTTGGTGTGCAGGACGAGGTCATGCAGGGGGTAGTCCACCGCGCTGCCTGGGGCCTCGGCCTGCAGAGGCGGGGCTGGGAGTGCGAAGAGGGGCGTCAACGCCTCCCCCTCCATCCCCGGCCAGAGTCCAGTCTCCCCCCTGCAATCCCCACCCGGAACAAGTTCTCTCCAGAGGCCTCAGCCCTGCTCACCCCCAGGGGCTGTGACCTGGACGTCATAGGTGTCCACGGGATTCTGGGGGGGCTTCCAGTGCAGCACGGCGAACCCCTCGGTCAAGTTCAGTGCACGCAACTGGGTGGGGCCGTCAGGAACTGGGGGAAGGGGAGGGGCTCAGAGGGGTCCCCGCTGGTCTCTCTAGTCCCTGACTCCCCAGACTCCACCGGCCTCCTGTCCGCAATTGGAGCCTCCACCACCTCCCTTTCACCCTCCTCCTTCTCTCTCAACTCCCACCCACGCCATTTTCTTGGCTCCCGCCTCTTGCCCCAGGTCCCAGTCCATCTCATCCGTGTTGAGGAAGCCTGTGAGAGGCTCACTCTCCTCAAAGCCTCGGACGGAGACCACGGTCACCTCGTAGCGAGCGCCTGGGATCAGCCCCTGGAGTTTCTGGGTCCGGGCCCGGCCGTCCACCTGCACGCTCTGTGGCTCCCCTGAAAACATTGGGGATCGAGGGTTACCCAGCGAACCCCAGGTGGGCTGGAGGGTGGGCAAAGTGCAGGGGGGAGGGGAAACGCGAGGCAATGAGCCCATGGCAAAGGCACCACCTCCGTCCGCCAGCTGGTAGGAGACTTTGAAGCTGTCCGCCCGGGACGGCGGGGGCATCCAGTTGACCTTGGCTGAGGTCTCCCTGATTTCACTGAATTGGAGGTCACGGGGGCTCTCCAGAACTGCAGAGGGGGCAAGGAACAATGATGCGGGCAGGGGCAGGGACGCTCCTCCCTACGAGTCCCACCCCTCGCCTCTGCTCCAGCACAGGCTCAGCACCCCTTTTCCTCTAGTCTCCAGGAATGGAAGTCGCTCTGCAGATTCCTCCAGGCCCACCACCAACTCGCCCACTCCACTGCTGACTGAGGCACCAGGTCCCCCCCGTTAGTACAAAGACCCCCACTTTGGGGCAGATGTGGATCCTTACCTGAGCTGAGGGTGCGAGCAGTGCCCTGGATGCTATCGGCCTTGTGGGGTCCTCGCAGCCCATACAGTGTCAGGCTGTACAGCGTCCCCGGACGCAGGTCCCGAAGCACGGCTGAGTGCCGCGTCCCCGGCACCATCAGCTCGCGCTGCAGCAGAGGACGGGGATGCGGCTCCAGAGTGCTTGGTGATGGAACCCCAAAGCGGAGCAGGAAGGAGTCGAAGGCCCCAGGTGGGGCCTCCCAGTTGAGCCTCAGTGAACTGGTGGTCACATCAGTCACAGACAGCTGGGACAGGCGGGGTCCTGGCTCCCCTGAGGTCTGACCAGCAGGGGCCGGCCCTGCATGGAGTGGGTGGGAGAGAAGGGATTGGAGACAGAAGCACACCAGCTTAGTGACCCAGAGCACATCCCTTCCACCCCCCTCCCTGCCCCTGTTTCTCTATCTGTAACCAGGGACTTGCAGCCACAGGGGGGCCCTATGGGGCAGAGCTAAAGGCCACTCACGTCCAGCCCACCCGTCCTCTCTCCCTGGTACCCGCTTCACGCTCTTTCCCTGCGACCACCACTTCTGAGCCCCCCTTTCCCCCTTCCGAGTCCCAGACTAGAGGTCAGAGATGCCTGGTGGTACCTGTGGTGCCCTCAGCTGAGAGGGGCCCCAGGCGCTTCCCTTCATGGAGGCCATAGAGGAGGAACCTGTAGGGGGTGCTGGGCTCCAGGCCTGAGATGAGGATCTTGCTCTGGTCACCGTCCACGAGCAAGGCCTGGGGCTGCCCGTTTGTGTCCTCATACTGGACCACGAAGGAATCAAAGGGGCCCTGGGCCACGCTCCACGAGAGGCGCATGGAGTCTGGGGCTGTGTCGGTCACGGCCAGCACCCCTAGGCGGGGCTCTTCAGGAGGCTCAGGGGCCTCTGGGGCTAACTCTGGGGCTGGCGTGTCCTCTTCTGGGGCTGTGTGGGAAAAGCCCAGGGCAGAATCTGAGTGAGGGGTGCCGTGGGGCCCTCCGTTTTTATCTTTCAGGCTTGGCCCAAGGCTGTGGTGGGAAGTTTACAGGTCCAGGCCCAGTCAGACCATGAAGTCGCTGTGGCCTCGTGACTCCCGCGAGCTCCCCGGCTGTCGGAGTCAGGTGCTCGCTTCCCCCTTCCACACCCCAGTGTCCTCCCGAGCCCACCCTGAGCTATCACAGGCTCCGCCCCCACCCACGCCGGGACACATTCACTGAGCTTGGGGAGTGTGGTGCTCCCTTCTGAGAGAAGCTGAGGGTGGAACTGGCTGGTAAAAGTGACTGGCAAATCCCGCCAGCCGTGCCTTGGTCAGGCCTGTCTGAGGTGGGCATCAGTGAGCACTGGAAGCAGAGCCTGTAGCACAAATGCAGCCACTTCTGTTGGTTTCTGTGTCCCCGCTCATTTTGTTTTCCAGTGATTTTCCTCTTAAGAAAATGCTCCTGACTCATCCATGGCAGGGAGGTTTGCCGCTCTCTGGACAAGGCCACCTTCGGGGAGGCGACAGCTGCCCCAGTGAGTAATGAGGAGCAGCGGCAGTGATGGGCAGAGATGGGCAGTGATGGGGCAGAGTTGGGGCTGGGAGATGAGGGAGCCCCTGCCAGGGCCTTTCCCTCTCACCTGGCCTGGCTCCTGCTCTGGACTCCTTGATGGATGTTGAAGCCCACAAGCCTGCAGACCCCTCCTCCTTCCTGGGGACAGGCCAGGGTGCCCCACTCCCACCTGCCCACTCCTGCAGTCATCTTTGTCTTCGGACCAAATGCACAAGTACTTTGTTAAAAGTATCCCATCTGCAGCTCAGGCCTGCAGCCCCTCACCTTTTGGTGGCTCCTCAGGCGTCTACGCCTTATTCACCTTTCCCCTCTCCTATGCCACTTCTCCTCCAGGGCGCGAGGCTGTCCTTGGTATGGTCCGGAAGGCCAAATACCAGGAGCTGCTCCTTTCAGAGCTCCTGGGCCGGCGGGCTCCTGCTGTTGTACGGCTTGGTCTCGCCTACCATGTGCACGACCTCATTGGGGCCCAGCTAGTGGACTGGTGAGTCTTGCCCGGGCCTCTGGCAGATGACGGAGCAATGACCCAAGGTCGGATTTCCTCCCAGCTCATGCTTAGTTCCCTAGTGAAGGCCAGTGGATCTCATTCTTCTCTGGAACCCGGGAACACCCCTTCCCAAGTTCTAAGCTCTCCTCACAACTTGAGCCTAGGCGTCTGGCTCCAGCCTTGTCTTTCTCCTGCACAGCATCTCTACCACTTCTGGAACCCTCCTCCGCCTGCCAGAGACATGAAGATTCTGCTCATCATTGCTCAGCTCCCCAGAGTGGGCCTGGAGGGGACTGGAATTGCTGCATGATGGTGGCTGAAACAGGGTCACCTTGGGAAGGCTTGGGAGCCAGGAAGAGTGTTGGGCTCTCGTGTATGCAAAGGGTCAGATGTGGCTGCTGCTGTTTGCCTGGGCTCTGACCCGGTGGTGGGGTTTGAGCAGTGCTTCTCTGCCCTTCCACGGAAAGTGGAACCAGAAATGGTGCCAAGGCTGTGGCTGTTCCCTTTCGTGTAAAATGGTGCTGTTATTACTCTGTCTTGAAATAGGAAGGTGGGATTTCTGGGGAGGCTGGTGAAGGAGGGCAGGGTTCTTTTCCCTACATGTCATGTTAAAATTGCCAAATAAAGTACTTCTGCCTGTGGTATTTTCTGGACGTCCTTTATTTACTGAGACGTGCGCTTGGGTGCCTTGTTTAGGGGTAGAGGTGAAGTCTGAGCTTTGCCTCGTTCAGAGAGGAAAGGGGTTAGGGGTTCACCAGACCACTCTCCCTGTGGAGTGTTATGGGTGTACCTCATCTCCTAAACCATGGAATTTCTGTTAGGGCCTGAAAAAGCAAAAGCCTAGTATTGTTCAATTTGTGTTGGAATGAAAGTAAGAGACAAGTGTCTTAGAAACCTGTCGCTGTTTTGTGAGGGCCTTTAAATATCCTGCACTCGTGGGCCATGTTGGGCCTTTGGACGCCCATGTACACAGGAGCTTGTGTGCACCTATACCCTGATACAGATATACCTGGTAGGGGGAGGTGCTCAGGCACTGGAATGAGGGGTTAACAGGGAAGGACAAGGTTATTTCTGGGCCAAGATTCAGAGATTCCCCTGGAGACCCAGGTGTCCGGGGCGCCCCCACAACACTGGGCCTGAGGCCAGTTGCAGTTCTTGGCTGTCACGTGGTTTCCCAGCTTAGCTGGGCTGGGGGAGGAGCAAGGTCCAGAGTCAACTCTGCCCCAAGCCCTAGCTTGGCCAGAAGGTAGCAGACAGACAGACGGATCTAACCCCTCTTGCATCCTCCAGCCATGAGGCTCCTCTGGGGCTGATCTGGGCATCCAGCTTCTTCACCTTGTCTCTGCAGAAGCCCAGGTCCTGGAGGCGGGATGCTGGGTGCTTGGATTGGGGCAGGGCTGGCAACAGGACCCGATTCAGGAGTGAGGGAGAGCAGGGTTGGAGGGTCAGAGCCAAGTCTGACTGCTGATCCTGTCTGTTCTCCCCAGGTTGCTCTTGTTCTCTCCTTCTGTGGTTCATCTGGGGGTCCCCCTATCGGTGGGGGTGCAGCTCCAGGATGTGCCCCGAGGACAGGTAGTGAAAGGATCAGTGTTCCTGCGAAACCCATCTCATAATAATGTCCCCTGCTCCCCAAAGGTGGACTTCACCCTTAGCTCAGACAGAGACTTCGCACTCCTCAGTCTCCAGGTAACTAGACCCCACGCCCTCCTGCTGCTTGTGGGGCTCCCGCCCTGTTCCCCTCTGTCCTGTAAGTGTCTTCATCTTCCCACCGGCCTCCTCCCCTCCTGTCTTCCCAGCCTCGCATTCTCCTTCTGTGTTTCTCCCTTGGTCTCTGTCCTTTTTGGCCAGCTCTCTCTTGCTCTGTGACCCGCTCCGTCTCCCTCTCCTGACAGGTGCCCTTAAAAGATGTGAAGAGCTGTGGCCTCCATCAACTCCTCAGAGGCCCTGAGGTCCAGCTGGTGGCCCAGTCGCCATGGCTAAAGGACTCTCTGTCCAGAAAGACGAACATCCAGGGCGTCAACCTGCTCTTCTCCTCTCGCCGGGGGCACCTCTTTTTGCAGACGGACCAGCCCATTTACAACCCTGGCCAGCGGGGTGAGTCTCAGCCCCAGGGCCTCAACATTGAACCCCCTCCAAGCCCTGTCAGGATGAGTTTGGTGCCCCCTAAGTGAGATAACCGGAAAGAAAGTGCCACATGGGAGGGCTGCTTAGGAAATATTTGTCCCCCACTCCCTCTGTGGAGTTGGACCCACTCTCCCCTTGCACATGGATCCCTGCTCACCTCTCTCCCCCTCCTCTCCCAGTTCGGTACCGGGTCTTTGCTCTGGATCAAAAGATGCGCCCGAGCACTGACACCATCACAGTCACGGTGGAGGTGAGTCCCCGACCTCTGGCCTTCCTGATCCTGGCCACTGATGCGACCTCCTGCCTGTGACCTCTTCTCCCCTTGCAGAACTCTCACGGCCTCCGCGTGCGGAAGAAGGACGTGTACCTGCCCTCGTCCATCTTCCAGGATGACTTTGTGATCCCAGACATCTCAGAGTGAGCTCTCCCAATGTGGGGGCTGTCCCCAAGCTACACCATCCCAATTCCTGTTAGGCTCTCCACCTCCCACACAGAGGCACGTCCCGGGATGCCCTGGCCCTCAGCCTCCTGAGCCTCTGGTTAACCCCCACAGTCCTCTGCCCAGGGAAGCAGGCCTCTGGCTCTCCGTGCCCCACTGCACAGATGGGCTGAGTCCCTTCCTTGTCCATTCTCAGGCCAGGGACCTGGAAGATCTCAGCCCGATTCTCAGATGGCCTGGAATCCAATAGCAGCACCCAGTTTGAGGTGAAGAAATATGGTGAGAGCTGGAAACTGGAGGGACAGGCAACTGCTTTCCTGAAGGAAATAAGGGTGGGAGGAAACATAGTGGGTGCAGCTCAGGGCAGGGAGAGGTGGGTGCCACAGCCCTGGGTGGAGGGGATTCTTTGAGCTAGAGTCTGACCTGCCTATCCCTTCACCCTGGGTCAGTCCTTCCCAACTTTGAGGTGAAGATCACCCCTGGAAAGCCCTACATCCTGACGGTGCCAGGCCATCTTGATGAAATTCAGTTAGACATCCAGGCCAGGTAATACCTCCCTCCCCACCTCTGCCCGCCAGCACTGGGTCCTGCTCCCTACTCAGTATGAATGGGCTCCTGCTTCCCCGCCCTCAGGCCATTATTCCCCCCAGCCCTTGGCCCACCCTCTCCTCTCTGTCACGACAGGTACATCTATGGGAAGCCAGTGCAGGGGGTGGCGTATGTGCGCTTTGGGCTTCTAGATGAAGATGGTAAGAAGACTTTCCTTCGGGGGCTGGAGAGTCAGACCAAGGTAGGAAGGAGGATAGGGACTGGGGAGGGGAAGGGGCAAGGGAGGTGAGATTCAGTCACCATCATATGTCCTGTTTCTTTCTATGCCCCAGCTGGTGAATGGACAGAGCCACATTTCCCTCTCAAAGGCAGAGTTCCAGGATGCCCTGGGGAAGCTGAATATGGGCATTACTGACCTCCTGGGGCTGCGCCTCTACGTTGCTGCAGCCATCATTGAGTCTCCAGGTGGGTGACTTTCCCTTATTGTAACCCCAGACCTCGCCTCTGACCTCTGAGCTAACCCTCTGTCCTCCAGCACCAACAGCACGCCACTTCTCCCACCTCGTCTCAGACTCAAAACCAGGAAACACCCAGGAGACCTCGTCTCTCTCCAACCCTGTCTCTGTGACTCGGCCCTTTTCTCTGGCTCAGTTTATTTATTTATTTGCTTGTTCTGCTCATTCATTCACTCCTCCAGTGGACATGTGTTGTTCAATGTCCTGTGCTGGGCCTCAGCATGCACAGACAGGAATACGGCGGCCTGTGCCCTGGGAGCTCACTGTTTTGTGGGAGGGAACCACTCAAGCCACTCACCATTTATCCTCCTGTCCCTCTCTTCTTGGGCTCTGTCCCGCACCTCTCTCTGTCCTTTGTTTTGCAGGTGGGGAGATGGAGGAGGCAGAGCTCACATCCTGGTCTTTTGTGTCATCTCCCTTCTCCTTGGATCTTAGCAAGACCAAGCGACACCTTGTGCCTGGGGCCCCCTTCCTGCTGCAGGTTTCTTCCAGAGGGGAAGGATGAGTAGGGAGGGGGTGGTAGTTAGGAGGGCTCAGGGTCTGACAACTCTCTTTTGCCTGCCCTCCTTTACCTGCCTAGGCCTTGGTCCGTGAGATGTCAGGCTCCCCAGCTTCTGGCATTCCTGTCAAAGTTTCTGCCACAGTGTCTTCTCCTGGGTCTGTTCCTGAAGTCCGTGACATTCAACAGAACACAGATGGGAGCGGCCAAGTCAGCATTCCAATCATTATCCCTCAGACCATCTCAGAGCTGCAGCTCTCGGTAGGACTCCTCGGACCCCTGGGAGATGGTGGGGGAAGGGGAGGAGGGTGAGCTGGGGTCCCGAGGATCCATGGCTTGATTTGGGGGGAAAGTGGGGTACCTGGCTCTGAGCTACTACCCTATTTGCACCTGCCCCTCTCTCCAGGTATCTGCAGGCTCCCCCTATCCAGCCATAGCCAGGCTCACTGTGGCAGCCCCACCTTCAGGAGGCCCCGGGTTTCTGTCTATTGAGCGGCCGGATTCTCGACCTCCTCGTGTTGGGGACACTCTGAACCTGAACTTGCGAGCCGTGGGCAGTGGGGCCACCTTTTCTCATTACTACTACATGGTGTGCATGAGCTGGGGAGTGGAGGAGGACTGGGGTGCAGGGAAGAGCCCTCTGTGTGGGGCTGGGGGGTTCAAGGCTGGGGCTGTCCCATGAAGAGGCAACCACTCTTGTCCCTCCCCTTCCTGGCCCAGATCCTATCCCGAGGGCAGATCGTGTTCATGAATCGAGAGCCGAAGAGGACCGTGACCTCGGTCTCCGTGTTTGTGGACCATCACCTGGCACCCTCCTTCTACTTTGTGGCCTTCTACTACCATGGAGACCGCCCAGTGGCCAACTCCCTGCGAGTGGATGTCCAGGCTGGGGCCTGCGAGGGCAAGGTGACTGGGATCAGGCGAGATGGCACTTGTGCTGAGGGGATTGAGGACAGGGTGATTGCCAACAGGGCATGGATTTAGCTTGGGGGGCAGTGACGATACTGGGACTGAAGGAAGCTCTCTCTCTCTGACCACGCCCACCTTCGGCCCCTGCCAGCTGGAGCTCAGCGTGGATGGTGCCAAGGAATACCGGAACGGGGAGTCCGTGAAGCTCCACTTAGAAACTGACTCCCCAGCCCTGGTGGCGCTGGGAGCCTTGGACACAGCTCTGTATGCTGCAGGCAGCAAGTCCCACAAGCCCCTCAATATGGGCAAGGTTTGTCCAGATCCTCTCCCCAGCCCTCCCACCCCTCCGTGGCTCATCCCCCTGCTGCCCTGAGCCCTGGGCGCAGCCCCTGGATCCCACTGGGGCTCCCCCAGGCTCTTCCCCACTTGTCCCTGTGGTCTCCATCTTCTCGCTCTGTATCCTTTCCTATCCCTCCATGCGCTGCCCTCTCACCTGTGCCAAGTGCTCAGTCCTGCCCCATCAGCCATGCTTGGCTCCTAGCATTCCTGCCTCTTCTTGCAGGTCTTTGAAGTTATGAACAGCTATGATCTCGGCTGTGGTCCTGGGGG